TTATTCAGCAGCCATGGGGAATGCCAGATAACAAAATATGCTGGTTAATTGAGAGGCCCAAATAGGAGTACTTTGCCTGTTCGGGCTGCTGCTGCTTCTCCCACGGCATTGCCAACCCTCCTGCAGGCCCCATGCAGGCTGCTATGCCATGGGGGCTCAGAAACCAGAAGTGCCATGGTGGGCACTTCCAGTTTCACTTTGCAAGATGGCATGCTGGTTAATAGAATGTGCTGGCTTGTAAGGTGCCAGTTAGTGGAGCTTTTACTATACATATTTTAAAGTAAAAGGCTTTAAAATGCTAGACCATAGCTCGGGTACTGTTGTCTTCATGCGATGATATTGCTACCAACTGGAGAGTAAAGTGCACAAGAAAAGCAATTATGTACAAAGTATTGATGATGTATTAGGGCTTTTGGAAGGAGGAGACAAATGTGAACTCTTCCCTTGGGAAAGAGGAACTCTGGATCTAGGCCAGGGGTGGCCAACCAGTGGCTGGAGCAACATGCCACTCTTCAGAAGTTAATGAGTCTCCTAAATCTTTGCACAGGCATATGGTGACCACATACATATACATATATAATCATTGCATATTACTGTGGCTCTTTGGCAATGTACATTGCTAAATTCTGGCTCCTTCTCAGGCTCAGGTTGGCTACCCCTGATCTAGACATCCAACAGTCGTTCTGCTGTCAGAATAGTCAGTACAGCAGTGCTTCCCAAACTTTTTCTCAGCATGGCCCCTCACTCCCAACCTACAGCTTTCCCACACCCATGACTATCCACTGTTGTGACCCCATTTGGGGTCATGACCCACAGTTAGGGGACTGCTGCAGTACAAGCTGTTAAAATGTAGCTGGTTCTTCTGCATGATTCCATAGAAATAAAATATGGCAAAACCATTTCAACTTTACCCCTGCTTACTACTTACTCGAGGGAGACTTGGTTAATTCATAAATGCTCATACAGATGTAATGTTTAGATTTGTAGCCACTACTGTGGGCTCCCACAAAACATTTAGTCTGCCTTCCCATTTAGTAGTTCAAATGTATGTTTTGTCCATCAGCTTGCTTACATCAACCTTAATTTTTTGATAGTGTTACACTTGTTTTTGGTGTAGATTTTTTTGGGGGGTGAAATTTAGTAAGAGCATATTTTTTCTGTAGTAAAAAAAAATCTAACGTAATTGCCTTTGTTTAAAAAAATTGTATGTTATTTATGAATGGAAGACTGTACCAAGTGCCTATAAAGTATAAAAGCTATACTACTACCTTTTAGGAAGAATTTGGTTTTAAGATGAACATATTGGACATTGGTGGAAGCTTCACAGGTTCAGAGCTTCAGCTGAAAGAGGTATGCATTGCAAAGATGTGTAACTAGCTTGCCCTATTTGTTAGTTTTCTACTGATACTAATATCTGAAACCTGTACTATCACACCAGATCAGTAAGCAAATAAAAATGGGGATTGATAGGACTTTATGCCATAGTTGCAGCTGTAAGGGACTAATTTAGAAACTAACCAGAAGTAGCACAAACCTAATAATCCTGCTAGCTTCGTAATTCCAGTACAGATAATATTATGTCACCCCCTGGTATTAAGAACTAGCAAATGGGAAGAAAAGTAACCAGTCTGAATTACCACCGCCTGCACACCAAACAGGCCACTCTGGTACCCTTATCACTAAATTTGTTAATACTATCATGAGCTTTTTGGATCTTTCTTGTTGAGGCAATTCTACCTTTTAACCTATTATTTGTTGAATATTGACCAACTTCTGCAGCATTAGTGTCTTCAGTGTTTTAGTGTGGACTTGTGGTTGACAGCATGTCACTTCTCTATTGTAAGAGTTAGATTAAGACTAGGTGAATTCAGTGAACAACTCAATTTCTTTCCTAAACTGCAGAACTGAAGGGATTTGGCCAAAATGTTTGTTTAACTTAGTGGGGGAAGGGAGAGTGACACTGCAAACCTATAAAGGCAGAAAATAGTTTTATATCTAGTGCTGTGCTGGAACAATTTTGAAGTTGCTGGCTGGGAATTTCTGATGGGAGCTATGGCCAACTGTCAACCCTGCATCTTTCACAAAAACAAAAATAAAAGAGCTGACTTCAATCCCCCTAGGTTAATCGTGTCATCAGTCCATTGCTGGTTGACTACTTTCCTGAAGAATCTGGTGTGAATGTGATTGCTGAGCCTGGATGTTACTATGTTTCATCTGCATTTACTCTTGCAGTTAATATAATTGCAAAGAAGGCTGTGGAATATGATAAACATCTTTCCTCTGGAAGTAAGAAACACTTGTTTTTGTATGTTTTATGAATTGATACAAGAAAGTTTCTCTTGAGTATATCATCTTTTTCCTGAAAACAGTGAGATTAGTGGAGTTGAACAAATCGTCACTTCTGGAGCCTTAATTCATATTTGGGGTTCTGCCAGTGTGCATCTCTGCTTTTTTTCTGCATGTTTAGTATTTCTTTCTCACCATTTACCAGATATGACTTTGGTTTTCAGAAACCCTCACAGCGTATAATTAAAACCATATTAGGGGCAGTTGGGGGAAGGGAACAAACACGGTGGAGCTATTATTGTCCCTCTGGTATTAAAGACAAACTAAGTAATTTTGAGAAATGGCTGAAATATTAAGTATACCAAATTTAACAGCAAGTCTAGCCTCTAGCAGCAGAGTTGAATTGCTGGTCTAATCTTACAATGGCACTTTCCTCCCACAACATTTTGATCCAGTGTATAGTCCACCTACAACTAGTGGGGGAGAATCCTCTTTTGCAAGTCAGCTTCTTAACATATAAGCACTTTTATTCTTCCAGTGGAACAAGCCAGGAGCAATGAGCCAGTCTTTATGTACTACATGAATGATGGTGTTTATGGTTCTTTTTCAAATAAATTGTCTGAGAAGTTGAATGCTATCCCAGAGGTTCACAAGGTAAATCTTTTATAAATTTAGTATAATGTAAAGAACTTGGTGTATTTGAAACTAGTCCTTGAGCTAAAGCCCTATGTCTACTACTTTTTGTAGAAATACAAGGAAGATGAGCCTCTGTTTGCAAGCAGCCTTTGGGGTCCATCCTGTGATGAGCTTGATCAAATTGTGGAAAGCTGTCTTCTCCCTGAGCTGAGTGTTGGAGATTGGCTGATCTTTGACAATATGGGTTCTGGTCCCTTGGGTGAACGCTCCACCTTTAATGATTATCAGAGGCCACTGATTTACTATGTAATGTCTTTCAGTGACTGGTAAGAAAACATTCTTTATCTGTAGGGATACTGGAACACTTTAAAATGTGACCCTGCATTTTGCTGTCTAGTGACTGATAGAGAAATGCTGAAGTTTTTTTGTCTTCAAGATTAGCATAGGACAGTAGTTCTCAATCTCGTTAGACCTGAGGGTAGCCCTCACAAAAGGTCATCTTAGTTTTCACTTGTTTTTAACTGGAAAAATAATAGATCAGTTCTATTGCACAGAACTCAAAGCCTGCAACAGGTCAGGTTTTTTAATGCTGTGGATTTCTATTTTAAAACTCTGGGTTTATCATGTGAATCTCATTTGCACACCTAACAGTGCCAATATCACATGGCACCTGCAGCATCCTCAAGGCACCATGGTGCTGTGGTATCCTGGTTGAGGATCACTGACCTAGGAGAAAACCAGCTTAACTCTTGTAATGCTACTGCACAAGGTTTCATCTTCTTGAGCCTTAATTTTTAGTTAGTCTTGGTAGAATGCTTCTAGCTGTAGGCACTGGTTGGATGCAGCTAAATTAAACATGCTTAAAATTGCCTAAAGTGAAACTTCAAATACAAGGTTTCTTGGTACAATATGTAAAACAGGCTATCATGTAAGCTAGCACTACTTAATGCTAATTGTTTTTAGTTGGTTACTGTAAGTAAGGAGACTAACATTGTCCTATTAGCTTTCTTTCGCTGTAGAAAGGTGTTGGGTTTCCAAATGCAGTCAGCAGTTAAAACAGCCCAGTTCTACTGCTTTAATTCATCTCCTGCTACTGTGATTCACTTTTAGATAGTTCCTGTTCATTTAACTTGTGGGTTTAGAACTCAAGTATCAAGTGATATTTTTTTAGAAGTACTGATGAAACGCAAGTTGTGTAGAACAGTAATGTCTGGAGGAAGCTGGGAAGATGTATAGAATAGGTGTGATGTGAAGCTGCATTTACAAAGGAACCATCCCAAATTCTAAACACAACTAATAATAGGGATGCTTTGAATGCGGAGTAGGGTAT